TTTTGAGAATGAGATTTAATGTATTCGGTTTTCTCTTGAATCAAGCTCCTTATATAAGATACTATCTTACTATAATTTTCTAGCTCGTTATTAATCTTAGAATGGTTTCTATAACTATAGTTAAGATTACTGTATTGAATATTCAAATCTTCATATTCCTTATATAAAGGTGATAGATCATAATAGTGCACAAAAGTATGTTTTGTCTTTTGTAGCCTAGCTGTGCCTAAATTTACTGGCAAAATTCCTAAATTGTTCGTTATGTTTCTTATTTCTGCTCCGCATCCGAAATAGATGAGGTATCTGAAATATTAGTAAATTTAAATTGATAAGTTTTCTTCCTGGGCCTTTTTATATTGGATAAATGGATATTTTTGGAAGTATTGGCATGTGTGGGATCTATCTCCGCTCTTTTTAATTTCTTATCTATACTAATTAATTTTTCTTGCTTATACTTATTTTTAGTTTTCTGTTGCTTCTGCTTATTCTTAACATATACCTTGTTAGGAATATCAGGCAAAACTTCACGTTTCTCATTTGCTTTATTTATAACTTTTTCTTTATTCTGTAATATCTTTTCATTTAAATTCCTATATACTAATTTCATTTTTTCCTTATGATTCTGTAAATAATTATTTAATAATTGCTTATCTATGTCTATATTAAAAGGTGATTCTGTTTCATTAACATTTACCTCTATTCTAGATAAAAAGTCCGCATTTGTGTTTGATTTGCCTTTCCTGTAAACAATGTCAAAATCATGTTCTTCTAATCTTAAGCGCCATCTTAGTAATTTTGAACTAGCATCTCTAACTGAAAATAACCATTGGAGGCTTTTGTGATCTGTTACAATAGTAAACTTACGTCCGAAAATATAAGGTCTGAAATATTTTACTGCATATACGATACTTAAAAGTTCTTTTTCTGTCGTGCTGTACTTTGTTTCTGAATCACTTAATGTTCGTGAGGCGTACGCTATTGGTAAATCTGAGCCTAATTTACCTTGGGATAATATTGCGCCGATTGCATAATTACTTGCATCCGTAGTTATCAAGAATGGTTTGGAAAAATCCGGATATTGGAGTATCGGATCGTTTGTCAATAAAGTCTTGCATAATTCGAAACATTTAATATAATCTGCGTCATTGGGATTAATAATTGCATCTTTTTTCAATCTGATTGTCAATGGCTTAGTGATTTTCGCAAAATCTTTTATAAACTTACGGTAATAACCTAAAAGTCCAAGGAAGCCTTTAATTTGCTTCTTAGTTTTTGGTATTTTAAATTCTGTGATTGCCTTTATCTTATCGGGGTTTGGTTTCACACCATCCGCCGTTACAACATGACCTAAATACGATACTTCTTTTCTAAGAAATTCCGATTTGTCTAACTGTATTTTAAAATTTGACTGACGTAACCTTTCAAAAACTTCTCTAAGTCGAGAAATATGTTCCTGTAAACTAGTACTGAATATTATAATGTCATCTAAATATACTAAGCATTTTTCATTTTGAATACCTCTCAGTATGTTATCCATTACTCGCTGGAAAGTCGCTGGCGCGTTTTTTAGTCCAAATGGCATTCTTGTGAACTCGTAGTGTCCATTTTCTGTATTAAATGCAGTTTTTTGAATATCATCTTCTGCCATTTCTATTTGGTGAAAACCTGAAGCTAAGTCTAATGTTGAAAAATATTGGCATCGCCCTAATTTATCTAACAAATCTGTTATGTTTGGAAGAGGATAACGATCTCCCAATGTTTTTTCATTCAATTTTCTATAATCAATGACTATTCTCCATTTTTGCTTTCCCGATGCGTCTAATTTTTTTGGAACAATCCATATAGGTGAGCACCACGCTGAATGGCTCTCTCTAATAATTTTTTGATCAAGCATTGATTGTATTTGTCTTTGTACCTCTTTTCGGTGGATTTCAGGATATCTGTATGATTTAGTGTAAATGGGTATTTCATCGCTTGTACGTATATGATGCTTAATTTTGCTCGTAAAAGTTAAGTAATTACCATCTATGTGAAATATGTCTGAATACTCTCTTACTAACTTGGTGATTGCGTCTTTTTCTTCTGAGTTCATATGCTCTGTCCTAATTTTGGAAATATCAAATTTATATTTTTGAAAGTTCAAAGAATTAATATTCGGTGGATCAGAATTTTCTGAAACTTCGTAATTTTCAAAATTTTCTACATCTATTGGTCGAGATATGTCAAGAGAAATCTGTTCTTCAGATAAATTTAATACTGTGCAAATTGCTTCGTGATTTTTCACTGTAGTAAGACATTCAGGGATTTCTAAACATGATAATTTTCTATATGGAATAATAGCATTACCATTTTTTAAATTTTTTATGTTAACTTTAATTATCTGTTCTGTTCTAGGTGGAATAGTGATAACATTAGAAGAATTTTTTGTAATCTCGTGATATTGCATGGGTATCCTTGTTGTGGGTGTGACTAAAAGATCATTGCTCAAATCAATGTTGGCATTCAATATCTCTTTCAGGTTATCGAGTCCTAAAAGGCATTGGAAATGTTCGTGAAACTTGAATAAATGAAATTTCATGAGAATATTTGGATTCTTAAAAATCTTTGGACAAGGTATTGTCATACTATATTGTTCGATAGATGAACCATGTGCTGAAGTGATTTGAAATGGGTCTTTTTGAATATGTCTTGAAAATAATTTTTTCGCAATTTCAGGGTGTATGAAAGATTTTGTACTTCCAGTGTCAATCAATACTTTGAGATTATACTCCGGAAATACAATGTATGGTAGTTTGCTACATTTGTCGGTTAAACTCATAATTTGGATTGACTTTGGTGGTCCGTTGAGACTTGTGGTTGTCTCTGTTCCGAGGCTTCTTGTCCTAAAAAATCGTCAGAATTATTCTGAGAATAAGCGCATTCATAATTGTCATCATTTGGAAATTCTACAACAGGTTGGTCTTGTACACACAAGTTAAACATAGCCTGTTCTGCGTTGACACCAGGTCTGTTAAAATTTCTACCTTGAAAATTTGGTTGCTGATACGTCTGTCTAGTGGATGTACTCATCGGAGTAGGCCTTGGCAGATTATTGATCTGATTAGGTCTAAAAACGTTATTATTGTGAAAATTCGTTCTATTCTGATTAGGATTATTTGGTCGTACATTATTAGGACTAAATTGTCTTTGTAATACTGGACGCTGTACCGCTTGGTATTGATTCCTATAATTACCAAAGTTGTTGTTCGTATGGTGAACTAATTGCATATTACTTCGATTAACATTTTTATGTTTATCTACCTTATGATCAAGCTGAAAGTCGTTAGTTAATATATTCAGAGCTTCATTCAAGTCTGTAGGATTTTTCGTCCTCATGAGCGATCCTAGAGGTTCCTTTAAACCTTTTAGAAATACTCTTAATGCTACGCTTTTGCAAAAATTACATATTATCTGAGCTTCTTCACTCACACAATGTGTAGTTAAAAATGATATTTGTAAATTCAATAAACTCTGAACTTTGTTATAAAATTCAAAGGGGGTTTCATTGTTCTGTTTCAATTCACACATTTCTATATTTAGAGTAAATACGTCACGCTTGTCTTGATATGTATTTAAAAGTGCAGTTTTCAAGTCTGTCCAATTTTTTATAATATTGCTACTAATATTTAAAGCTGCATTACCTTTGATTTTCGCTAAAATACTACTCATAAGATATTCGTTCTGGAAGTCATTTTCATCCTCTAATCTATAAAATTTATTCACTAACTTTTCGCAAATATCTATGAATCTTGGTAATAATTCTTGTTGACCATAAAATTCGGGTATCATGTTAAGATACTCTGGGCGTAATGACATGTTTGATTGATTTACTTGACTGTTGTTCATATTGACTGTACTATTTAGTATACTAGGTCTTAATTGCAATTTACTTAAGCTATGTTGGATATGTTCCGTATCCGACTGTGAGTCCGAATCAGTGTCACTCAATATATCATCAAACAGCTTTCGATTGTTTTCACCCCTGTAAGATATTCGTACTTACAGTAGTAATCCAATCCGTCCCATGTGTCCGTATGCCTGGGCCACTGCTGGGTTGCCTGTCCTGGAGCAGATGTTCCTTCTGTCCTCTGGGCTGCTGTCGTCTTGGTTTCTCGATTTGGGTAGGGTTCTACCCCAAATCTGGTTCCGGTGATCACGGTAACGATATCGATATTCCGTCGGATCGTTCGCGACCAATCGCGGTTGGTTTCGTTATAGCCAGTAAACCGTTGAAACGAACCGAAAAATGTCCCTTTTTTCGTCTGACTATCCTACTGGATTGACTGCGCCACTCAAATATCTTTCTTCAACGAAAACGTTTTTAAAAAGATTTATTTTTGAGAAAGACCAAATACAATGATGTTAATTGAATGAGTTCTGAATCGAGACTGACTGCAAAGTTCATTATACAAACCAAAGTAAAGAACAAATGAAATACAATACTGTAACTGATAAGAAAGGAACGTGGAGGCAAAAGTCCTTGTTCAGCATATTCTTCTCTGTAGACTGGTACATAACTTATATATATATATCACATCTCACGATAAATATATTGACGGATCACAATAAATACTGATCTTGTGATATTCGTCTAAACAACTCGGAGTACTTTATGGGACAAGTTGCTTAGGCTTAAAACAATTAAAGTTTGGAAATTAAAAGTATTTCCGAATTTACTCGTCGTTTTTTTCTGAACATACTGCATGAATTTCAATAAAAAAATATTGCAAAATAGAGTGTCCGATTCTAAGCAGCTGAATCTTTGTATATGGCTTGAAACTCGCTGCGTAGGAGCCGCCGTGAACCTTACAGTAAAAGTCAAAAACTTGTGAATATGTATAGCTAAAATTATGTAGGTTGGATTTGTGCTTCACGTACTTGAGGTGAGAATAAAAAATGTTACATATGATCTGAAGCTTGTTCCCTATATGCATGCCCATCGATAGAGCATTGAACCTTACCTGAGATATATGAAGTTCCCTATTGTGTAGAAATTCGAGTGCCAGTCGGACGACATCCTCCTCTCGGAGTGTCAGCCGTGCCGACGGCATCACGTACCGGATCTGCAGTCTGAAACAGAAAGAAATCAATTAGCTACTCAAGTAACAAGACAAGTCATGTATTACGCTCTGAAAGCCAATGCAATTTTGAAATATTGAATTTTTTTAATCCTAATCTACTACTGTAGAACTAGAAAAAAATCGACTCAAATCAAGCAAACTCGAAATCAATACAAATATACAGGATGATCTCCCAGAATAAGATAACAATCTCCCTTGGATTCATGTAACGGGTGATTTTTTAAGAGGTATAGGATATGATTTTCAAAAAACACAAAAAATTTGAAAAAACGATTAAATCTTTATTTGAGTCGATAGAACGGTCGATATAATTTAATATTTAAAGATTATTTCATGTAAATGTTGGCCGCGGCTCCGCTTTAGATGGCCCATGCGCAAGGTCCAATTTTGGCACACTCTCTCCAACATATCGGCCGGTATCTCACGAATAAATGCTTCAATATTGGCTTCCAGTGCGTCAATCGTTGCTGGTTTATCCCTGTAGACATTAGCGTTAACATGGCCCCACAAGAAATAATCCAACGGCGTTAAATCGCACGATCTAGGCGGCCAATTGAAGGGCCCCAAACGTGAGATAAACTGTTCACCGAACTCGCCTCTCAATAGGGCCATTGTTTCGTGTGCGGTGTGGCATGTGGCACCGTCTTGTTGGAACCACATGTCAGCCAAGTCCAGCTCTTCCATTTTGGGCAAAAAAAAGTTTGTTATCATCGCACGGTAGCGCTCGCCATTCACAGTTACGTTCCGGCCATTGTCGTCTTTGAAGAAGTACGGCCCGATGATGCCACCGGCCCATAATACACCAAACAGTGATTTTTTCGGGATGCATTGGTAGCTTTTGCAATGCTTCAGGCTGGTCTTCACTCCAGATGCGGCAATTTTGCTTGTTAACGTACCCATTCAACCAGAAACGAGGTTCGTCGCTGTACACAATTTTTCGATAAAAATGTGGATCTTCCTCCAACTTTGCCAGCGCCCATTCACCAAATGGAAAACGTTGTGGGAGGTCGTGTGGCTTAAATTCTTGCACCAGCTGTATCTTATAAGATTTTACACCCAAATCCTATCGCAAAATTTTCCACGTAGTGAAGTAACAGAGGCCCAATTGCTGCGAACGGCGGCGAATCGACATTTCACGGTCATCACTAACACTGGCGGATACAGCCGCAATATTTTCTTTAGTTCTCACTCTACGTCTGCGTGTTGGTGGTTTAATGTCCAATAATGTAAACTGGATTCGAAATTTATACACAAGCTTCCGAATAGCTCCCTCACTAGGCCGACCAAATTGCCCATAAATTGGAAGCAGTGCTCGATGCACTCTCTTAACCGAGCATGAATTTTGAAAGTAAAATTCAATAATCTGCAAGCGTTGTTCGTTCGTAAGTCGATTCATGGTTAAATTATAGACCAAACTGAACAAGTTTGACAATGACACAAGACACGATTCACGCATCATCTGTCAAAAACAGTGTTGCCAAAAAGATACTAGCAAAAGAATCACCCATTAGAACACAAAAATACTGGCACAAGTTCATATAAACAATGTCTTATATGGAAATGAGTTTGAAAGTTTTTTTTATACCGAAGCAGCCCCGCAGACAGAAGCGTAAATACCAGGGCACCACGGCTGCTATGCAAAGAAACTTTGTTAATGATTTTTGAGCTGCCTAAGGTTAGTAGAACTGGAAAAAGCCTCATGTAGATTGTTGCTCAATGTCGATAACGTAGGGACAAATGAGCGGTCGTATCGGCCAGTTATGGATGTAAGAAGTTCGACACGGTTAGGATGGGAGGTCGAAGTCAGGTGGGTTTATCTATCAGGCACATCGCGTGGCGGCATCATGGAGGAGAGCTTTGAGAAGTAAAGCTCGCTAGATCAATTATTATCAAGATCCATAAAGAATATTTGTCCTTGCATAGTAGCATACAAAAATTCATAAACATAACGCCATATTTCAATTATATTTTTTTGCGACCTAGCTTATAGTTGATATAATAAAATATAAATAATATGCTAATCTAAGAAATAAAGCTCTTGATAAAATTGCACAGCATTTATTTTTTACTTCCCACACCTACTGCTTATATGACATGTAGATCGCGAAAAAACTGTCACTCATTTCTGTCGGTCTGTTTGTCTGTCACTTGGTCTGCCCGCTAATCTTATAATGGAATTTTTACACTAGGCCAAGGAAGCATAAGCTTCGTAGTTTTTGAAAATCGGTCCACTGGAGGCAGAGTTAAAGGCCCAAAACGAAAAAAGTAAATATCGCTCAAACTACGTTTTTTTGACGTTTCAGAGGATCTTGATCATTTAGAAAAAAATAGAGGTAGAAAACTTGGGGGTGGAGAGGGTTTATCTCAATTTTTTGATGGTAGTACATTGGTACGCTCGCAACATTGGTAATTCTACCCATCTATTAGACATACTTAACACATCATGAATTTCTCTGAACAATATCGTCGGGAGACACGTATTTCTGTTGCGCAACAGCATAGTATTTTCTATGTTCTGACTGCGTTACACGGTCTCAGATGGTCTAGTTTGTGCTGAACATATTCCTTTATGTATTGATTTTTTTTTTTTTTTATATCGAAACAGCCGCGCAGGCAGAAGCCTAAATGCTGGAACACCCCGGCTGCTATGATGATCCCAAAGAAATTTTGTTAATACGATTTTTGAACTGCCTAAGGTTAGTAGAACTGGGAAAAGCTTCCTCCCGTAGATTGTTCCACAATCTAGACACCCTCGGGACAAAGGAGCGGTCGTATCGGCCAGTTCTGGATGTACGAAGTTTGACACGGTTAGGATGGGATGCCGAAGTCAGGCGGGTCTGTCTGGCAGGCGCATCGCGCGGCGGCATCATGGAAGAGAGCTCTGAGGAGCAAAGCCCGTTGGTGTAGCGGTAGAAAAGAGCTAGATCGCCGACGGCGCGCCGGTGCGAAAGAGTCCCGAGACTGTCTGTTAGAGAAGAGTCATCGATCAGTCGGACCGCCCTCCTCTGGACAGCATCGAGCATGGACAATGTAGTCGGGGCGGCAGCACCCCAAATGTGTGAGCAATACTCGAGGCTAGGCCTTATCTGGGCCTTGTATAGAGTGAGAATGTCATGCGGAGAAAAGTACTTCTTAGCCCTAAACAAATAGCCTAGCTTTTTCCCAGCAGCTGCAGCTATTGAAGAGATGTGTTCGTGCCAGATCAGGTCCTCGGTGATCTGGACTCCGACCAGCCGAAACGAATGGCTCTCTGGTAGAACTCGACCGTCCATCGAAACTGTATGAGCGCTAGGACGCTTTTTGTTCGTCAAGGTACAGTACTGTGTTTTAGAAGCATTGAACTGTACAAGATTGTTGCGTCCCCAAGCAGTGATAGCCTCCAGGTCTCTTGTCAGAGAAGAAGTCGTCGCTAGTCTTCTTTTTTCCAGCTCAGCGGCAGAGATCGGCTTGTCACTCTGAATTCCTGCATGTAGAGTGCTGTCATCAGCGAAGCTGTGGATTGGGTTGATCGTGCAGGAAAGGAGGTCGTTGATATGTAAGAGAAACAGTGTTGGAGCCAAGACCGATCCCTGGGGAACACCCGCGTTGACGTTGTGGGATGAAGAGGAGAATCCGTCAATTACGACGGACATCTTGCGGCCAGAGATAAAGTCAGCCACCCATCTGCAAAGCTTTTCTGGGAGGCCGTAGGATGGAAGTTTGCTTAAGAGGGCAGCGTGCCACAGCTGATCGAACGCTTTCGTGATGTCAAGAGCAACGACATGAGCCTCACCATGAGACTGGATGAGTTTACTCCACAGTTGCGTGACGTAAGCTAGGAGGTCCCCTGTGGATCGTTGGTGCCGGAAACCGTACTGCCTGTCGCTAATCAAGCTGTGACGTTCGAGGTAGTCCAGAAGCTCGCGATTTATGCACCTCTCCATCACTTTACTTATAACAGAAAGCAGAGCTATAGGCCTGTAGTTGTAAGGGTCGGTTTTAGATCCTTTTTTTGGGATGGGCTGTACATGAGCAAATTTCCAGTTTTCTGGGAAGGTGCCGGATTCATAAGATATCTGGAAGAGACGCGAAAGAACTGGAGCAAGCTCCGCTGCACATCTCTTCAGTACAATGGCAGGAATCAAGTCCGGACCAGAAGCTTTGTTGATGTCGAGCGACAAGAGCACTCGTCTTACGGTCTTATGCCTGAATGTTACTTCCCGCATAGTGTGGGGAACCCTTTGAATTGACGGCACTTGGGCGTTGGTGGGGACGTCCATGGTGGAGTTGGCAGCAAAGATCTTGGCTAGCACTTCCGCCTTGGCCTTTGAGTCGAATACAATAGTTCCATCCTGACACGTAAGTGGTGGAAGGCTACTGTGTGAGAAGTTCTTTTCAATCTGCTTGGCCAGCGTCCAGAAAGACCGACTGCCATTGCGCTGCGACATTACCCTGTGCCTAACTTTTATATCATGCTGGTTTTTGGCATTGCGAACCGCTTCGCTATATTTGTTTCTGGACTCGACGTCGGCTTGTCTGTTCTCTACAGTGGGGTTTTGTAAGTAGGTTCTGTGGGCCTTGATCTTCTGCTGGCGAGCAGTGTCACACGATTTGTTGAACCAGCCGTTGGACCCGGGTTTAAGAACTTTCACTGTGTGAGGGATGTATTCCTCCATTCCGAAGTGGATAATTTCGGTTATTGAAGAACAGACAGTCGACGCATCCGCGTCAGTGAAACAGACATCTCTCCAAGGAAAGCTAGAGAAGAAGTCTCCGAGCCCCTCCCAGTCGGCATGTCCGTAATGCCAAGTTTTGCGGCCTGTGCGAGTTTCTGCTGCCACAGCGGCTTCTGACCGAAACCTAACCTCCACAACACCGTGATCTGAATTACCCAGGGGGGACAGGACAGCAGTGCTGTAAGGGGCAGGATGCGTGGTCAGAAAGAGATCTAGCAGGCTACTGGCATGTGACGAGACGCGGGGGAAAAAAGTAGGGCTCGTCACCAGCTGGGTCAGCCCTTGAGTAAGAGCGAACGCTTCGACTGCACGACCTGCTGCATCGGTCTTATTTGAGCCCAACCAAAGC